AGAAGGCAGCCACCAAAGTGCTAAAAATGGTATCTATACACATGGACGCATGGGCTCCAGCATGGCTCTCTGGAACACTTAAGTGGGTACTACAGTTTCAATATCAGTTTCAGTACCCGAATCTGGAAAGCACACTTCCTGTGCTTGGCCTCCATCACATGTGTCTACAATGTATTGGAATCACGGGCAGCTGGCTGAGAAAAGCTTTTATCACATATGGAAAGTCAGCCCATGAGAGAACTTTGTGAGTTCCCTTTGGAGGAAAGAGGGAAGCCGTACCAGATTCTTTTTGTGAAAAGAAACGAGGCCAGAACTGTGAGCTGGGTGCCTCAACCAGCCACTCTGTGACACTCTGCCTCCCCACCCTACCACTAAGCAGCCACCATCACTGCATGCTTACTTATTCCAAGCATAGTGCTAAAAATGTAGGTGGTTTCACTGATCCCATATTTACTCACACATTTATCACCCAATGCTTAAAGAACTGTCCCTATGATCCAGGCACTATGCTGGGTGGAGTCATCCAGTGTGGACAGACCAATGATGCTCCACACCTTCAGAGGGCTGACTTCACAGAAAGGAAACTGACTCCAGGAGACTTACTAACTGGCCCCGGACACTCAGCTAGCTGTGCAGTGGTGGCAAGGCTGGAACTGGAGGCGGCTGGACTCTAAGGCTGTGCATACTCTGGGGTTTTATGAAGGAATGCCTATCCTTCATAATACTGCACTAATCAGATATTTGCAGAAAGACCAAGCATTGTCGAAACATTGTTGGCATCGCAGTTAAAATTATTTCCACCACAGCCTTTCCTTACCTGTGGAAACAATTCCAAGGCATTCACTCTGCTTAGCATTGCTAAGACAAAGGCAGCAGTTTTCCCGGTTCCGGACTGGCTTTGTGCTATGAGGTTCTGGGGACTGTGAAAAAGAAGAGAGGGCTGGGTATAAACTGAACATGAGATCCTGGGTATAAATCGAAGAAACCAAAAAAAAAAAACCCAACTTGAAAGACCACTACCCTGTAAACTCACGGATGTGCGAGCATCATAGGGAGGGCCATCTCTTGGATTTTGGATGGTCTGTTGAATCCCATTGCGTAAATCCCTTTTAATAACTCTTCCTTTCTGTGAAATGATAAATAAATAGATGAAAACATAGGTAGATAGCTAAATAAATACATTTCTCAAACATGCAAAGTCCCTGTTGTCAGCATCCTCATTAATGTGTGTACCAGTAGCCTTTAGAACTGTACACTTGAAAGTGCACTTCTGAGGGGAGCCAAATTGAAACTGAGCATTGCCACTTTTCTATGACACAGTGCCTGACAGAAGCAACTTAAGAAGGGTTTATTTTAGCTCATGGTTTGAGAAGGGGTAGAGTCCACTATGGGGGTGGGGGAGGGCATGCTGGTGAGAGTGTGACATTGCTGCTCTCACTGGGCCTGCAGTCAGAAAACAGAGAGACAGACGCTTTCACTCAGACCCCAGCCACCAGACAGTGCCACCCACAAGCAAAATGTTCTTTCCTCCTCACCTAAACCCCACTGGAAACACCCTCAGAGACGCCCCCAAATATGTATGACCTAGGTCATTCCAAATCCAGTGAAGCTGGCAATGACGACTGACCATCTATAAGCACTGAAAGCAATACTTACAAATATATTATTTATATCTCAACCCTGCCTATCCCAACTATAGACAATTGTGCCTCTAAGTTAATAACTACTAAGATTTTAACCTAGGCTTCCAGCCTAGGTTACAGGAAGTGGGAAAGGCCTAAAGCCCAACTTTCTCTTAGGGAGATGGCTGTGGGTGAAGATTCATTGGGTAAAAGGAGCATATCCATTTACTACAAGCCTTATTTTCCGTGGAACTGGGAAACAAAGTGGCATTTGTAACCTAATTCCTTTTCGTGAATGACAGAAATTTTCAGAAGACATTTTATTGGGCAATACTTTTATCATTTCTCTCAGACTCATTACCCTGTAATCTCACGTTGCTGACGGAAGAACTTTAAATGTATCTTCTCTGTACTCCTCTGCAAAATGTCAGAATGGGAGCAACATGAGTGGGCTGCAATATTCACACCTTCCCGGAGTCACTCATGCACTTGGATGCTCTTTTCTCTTTTCTATCTTTGTTTTCTCAAGACAGCGTTTCTCTATTAGCCCTGGATGTCCTGGCACTGTGTGGACCAGGCTGGCCTCAGACGTACAGAGATCACCCAACCTCTGCCTCCCGAGTGCTGGCAATAAAGGTGTAGTGGCATGACTACATTTGGATGTTCTTCATGTGGTACATTATGTGGTGGATGACTGGCAGCCACGTTTTAATCACAGGCGGGAACCTACCACTTGGAACATGTCTGGGCATCAGGATGTTGGATATTTTCCTTTATATAAGTTCATATGTTATATACGGTTTCTCTTGGAAACCAAATATTGTGTGTCCCCAATTGGGACCCTGGCAACAAAAGCCAAATGAGAGACAGGAATCCAGTCCTCTGAAATCAAGTAAGATATCTTCCAGATCCACAAACCATTTCTCTACTATACAGTAAAATTTCCTGCTAAATATAAGCAACACTGAGCTACAGCAAGTCCTGGGATGAGGATCCAGCAGCCGCTCACGCTCACTCAGAGGCTCTAAATTTTACCCCTGCAGCATGGGTAGAAGGTGTGTCTAGATTTGCCTTCTGGTGGTTGGCCAAACTGCTACCTAACCAGGTCCATTCTGCCTACCGGGTATGCAGGCAAGATAAGCCTGGTTTGGCCACACACACCTGTTAGCTTTCCTTTTTTGTTAGAATATGTTTTCTTCATACCAATTTCAGCCCTAGGGGATGAAAACTCATTTGAGAAAGTTACTCATTTCATTACCATGTGAAATAAATTATGGTTAACAAAGTAAAGGCTTGTACTTTTTAAAATGTGGCTAAGGGGGGCTGTGCTTGGTTTGGTATTCCCCTGACTCCCGAAAGGTTAAAATATTTACCTTTACTACCAAGATGTGCTCAGTATGCTAGGCAACTTGGGTATTCACACATTCCTTGAGTTTAATTGCATGTAATATATACAATCTATTTTAGTACAACACACTAGAAAATAAAGGGGGTTCTGATGTTTTTCTTAGCACCAGCACACTAGTTAGCGCTTGCTAGCAAAAGCATTCTTACATTCTAGGAGTTAAGATACTCACAGCCGTAGTTCTTCAAATGTTTTCACCGAGTAGAGTGGAGAGCTAGGATCTTTCTGTAAGACTTCCACACGGTGGCTGGATTCTACTAAGGACTGACGGATTAACTTGTTTAAGAGTGAATTGGCTGCCAAATCCACTAGAAAAGCAAAAACAAAAGGGGACATCAACTTTCCTGAATGACATCTAATTAGTTGTTTTCTCCTGCTCAGTAGAAGTATACAAAATGTCTGCAACTTATTCTCATCTTTCTTCTAAAAGAAAGTTCTAGAAGGAATGCTAAAGCACCAAGCATTCCCTTTTACAAAGATCCAGTTTCTCACGCTCTGTTGCACTAACCCCTGACCTTGAGCAAACCAACATCAAATCATGACAGGATGTAATTCTTCCTTGCAAAAATTGAAAATTCGTAATGTAATCCTTGCAGTTTCCATTTCCATTTTGTCTAAAGAAATAAACCCCCTCCTAATTTAGTAATTTTTTCCCAATAGTATTCATTCAAAAAGAAAGCACAGATAGTGCTTTCCCAATGCAATCCGATTCAATAACATTGTTAAAGTGATAATAAACCAAGTAATACTAGAAAAGTACATGCAAACAAACATCTTACCTACATCGTCTTCATCATCGTCTTCCTCGGTGTTAAGAGAACCGTCTGAAAGGGTAAAAGAGAAATAATAAATGAAAGAAAAACTTTGAAAAAATATAGTGCACTCTTAAAATTTCTCACAGGTTTTTACAGTGTATGCCGACAATCATCTCCAGGAAGAGTGAAGTGTTTGGGAAGGAAGAGGATCGTGCACGTAAATTAAAAGGAGCCAAAGCTATTTCAGCTGGCAGATACAGGGCAGAGCAAAGATGTTTAATTAAGCAAATCTCATTCAGCCTAGCAACACTCACCTATGTTTGGGACTGCGGTACTCCTAATACCACGGAGGTTCTTCCTGGGGTGGACGAGATTTGAAAACTATTGAAAGGCACAAATTTCAACCAATGTTAGGAAGCAGGACACGAAGCGGGAAGCCTGGTGCTATCCTACAGCAGGGGCAGGGAAGACCACCCCAAACTGCTTCCTTTGCAATGTTAAGGGTTAATGATTTCATTAATCAGGCCACTCTATGAATTAGTCTATAAAAGGATGGCAGTTTCCATAGTCTCTTCCTAAGGTCTCTTAGTCTGAATATGGGTAGTACCTGGGTGGAAGGGGGTTTACGAAGATGGGAAACCTGCTAAATGGTCAAAATCAGGAGAGGAGAAAACTCAGGAGAACTAGGACTAGCAGCTGCGTTCTCTATCTGGATTTCCAGGGGTCTTTGCCCTCCCTCTGGGGGGGTCTCCTTCTCCGTGGCCCTTCCACCCCTGCCCACGCCTCCCCCATCACTTGACACCCACTCCAAACGCCAGCGGGGCGCCCCCCTCCCAGGGGACTTCCCTCGGGAGTCCTTGTTCTAGCTCCCGCCCGTGGGCCCTCCCCGGCTCAGCGGCGGTTACGTGGCTGTTCAGCCGCTCGCTCTCTGCCGCCCCAGCGTCGCCTCCCCAAAGTAACGACGCCATAGCTGCGGTCTCCGCTCTCGCCCCCGGCACGTGCTGCCGCCCCCGCGCGGGGCAGCGCCGGCTCGGCTCAGTGGCCAATGGTGGGGCTCCCGGACCGGCGTCAGCCTCGCGACCACCCGCGGCGCGGAGCAGTGCGCAGGCGCGGGCCCAGCGCGGGGCGGGCGGGGGGAGAGCGAGGTGCGGAGCGCAGCCGTGCGGAGCACCCGCGAGCTTTCCGTTTGGCCCGCCGGCCACCCGCACAGCCGAGAGAAACTGGGCACGGAGGCGGGACCCACACGGCGCTGCAGGCTCTCGTGCTGGTGGTGTCTACCGGGACAGCTCCGCCTGGGCATCAAAGGTGTGAGATTGCACAGGACACTGGAGGGACAGATGGGCTTGACTGGAGATTCGCAAAGAAAGCAAGAGTTCAAATGCAGACATCGGTCTCAGTCCTGGTATTTCTGATGTGCCCACATACACACGCATTTTAATTTTTATTCTAAGGCGTGGCCCCTTGTTAAAGCAACCCCGACCACCACTACCTACATGATATATTGCACAGCTCGGGGGTAGATTCCATATGCTAAGTTTGGATCAAAGAACCAGGATTTTCTGTTTTCCGGCTGGAATTTTAAGAGTCAACATTTCTAGAATCGGCAAAAATAGGAAAAGCACCAAGTGTCGCCATGATCTCTCCGTGGTGCTGAAGCAGCACTTCCTTTGCTCTGTACTGTCACAATCTTTTCATTCAGGTTATATAGCATTTCCCTTTAGCCTTTTACATTAACATTCTAATAGTAAATGTTTTTCACTCACAATGTTAAATTTCTGTTAATTAAACGATGTGCAAGAATGGGACACGATCTTCAACCTCTTTAGTTTTCACATAGGAAAGCCAGCATTTAAAACCTTTTTATTTTAGACCAGAATTACAATTTCGCCATTTGTTCTTGCATTGACTGTGTCTTGGGGTGAAGTCAGGGCTGCATCAGAAACCTGCTCTTACGGTGGGTTTTGGCTTAAAAGCCCACACCCGGGTTTCGGAACTACATTTCCCAGAACCCTAGGCGCGCCTCCCGTGAGACCGCGCATGCTTACTGGAGACATGAAGCCACAGCTTCCTGCTAGTCGCGTGGCCGATCGCTGATGACCGGAAGGTAAGTGTTGCCTCTCTCAGGTGGGATGTTTTGAGTTCTGAAGAGGAATGAGCAAACGGGGGAGGCTAAATGGCTACCTCCTGCCCCGGTACTTAAGGGCTTCAAGAAGGCGCTGGCGTATGAAGTAGGGCGTGTGCTGTTGTGCCTGGGACTTCTTGGAGCTAAGAAAGTCCCACCAGCGGGGCTTAGGTTTTGCAACTGGCTTAAAGGGCCTCTGCTGCAGCACAATTGCTCAAATACTAACGGTAGTAGCCCAGTATAGATTGTATGAGAGTAAGGCGTGGCGGAAACTAGTTTATTTTGGGTTTTGCTTTTACGCGATACTTTTCAGAGTTAACGATATAGCGCATCTTGAACCCTTTATCACGAGGAAATGTCTATCCACCCCACTCCCCCTTTAAACTTCAAAAAGATTCGTGCTTCCGAGGCTTTCTATTTTAGGATGGATGCTTAATGCACCCAGGAATTCCCTTTGTGGGTATTTAGTCAACGCCTGTCTACCTTCTGAATTTCACTGATAAACCTAGGGTGCTGGGTCAAGGGTCTTGGTTGGGGTCTGTAGGTATTTCGGGCTGATGGGGGTGGAACAGGAGTGGGTCAGGTATCCTGGCACTCAGGAGTCACAGAATACTGAGTGTTACACAGCTCAGGTGGAAAGGTATCCTGGAGCTCAGGAGCCAAGGACCACCACAGGTTGCAGTAAGCTTGGTAGCTTACAGCCCAGCCTCAGGGAAAGGCTTCTCCGGTGTATCCGCTCCGCTCCGGCAGGACAGGGTCTTCCAGCTGGGGATGTTCGCCTAGTGTAGCAGTTTCTCGGGCGAAGCTGCTACAGTTCAGCTCTGCTTTGGAGAGCAGAGAGCAGGGAGCGGAGAGCGGAGTGTAACAAAGGTTTCCCCGGGCAAGTGGGGCAAGTGTTACAGCCCTGCTCGCTCGCTCTGCTCTGCCCAGGGTCGCCTCTGTTCCGTCACCTACGAAAAAGATCTTCACCCAAAGCTCACCCAAGGGGTTTATTGGGAGGGAAGGATCCAGGAGAGTGGCTGCCCTCTGCCAGAGTGGCAGAGGACAGCGGGTATTGGGAACAGACACAGGGTTTATATAGGGCTTTCAGGGTGGGGATTGGTCAGATTTTAGTGCTGAGCTCGGATTGGTTAGTTTACTGCACAGGATTAGGGTCAGATTTGGCTCTGGTTTCAGAGCCAAAGTGTGTTTCTTTCTCTGGTCCTTTTTAGCCTTTTGGCTCCAATTTTAGGGCCAGGGTGCATTTCTTTCACTGACTCTGATTCCAGGGACCAAGTGTGTTTCTTTGGCACTGGTTTTAGGGTCAGGGTACATTTCTTTGGTTCTGGTTGCAGGGCCAAAGTGTGTTTCTTTGGCTCTGCTCAGGGTGTGTTTCTTTGACTGGACCCTTTTCCCTACAGGAAACAAATCTGCCTCATGATCTCACGCTTAGGAGCTAAACTAGGATACTTAACTTGAAAACCCTTTTAATTTCTGGAGTTTGAACTTTGAGGTCTAGGGAAGGGAAAACTTTTTAAGATCAACTGTTTTGAAAACGCTGTTAAACTTTTAGTCCTGCACATAGAGCTGAGTTTAAGCTTTTCCTTGTGCTCTGCATGTATGACAGATCTTGTTTGAGTTACAGCATACTTAGTTTGTATTCCCAGGCATTTGTGGCATTGCCCTGCCTCAGATACACCATTGGAGTTTGCAGTTTTTACTTTCTTGGAGTCACTGATTATCTTTCTTCTTAATAACATGCCTAGCTGTGGACGGCATTGGGTAAATGTATCGATAGCCTCATAAATTGTTCAGTGTTTCAGCAACTAGCTGTCTGTAGTGTTTCCTTCTCCAACAAGCACTGTGCTGTCAGCTTTCAGGCCTAAGTTTAGTACTTGAAAGACAATTCTACCTTAGATATTCCTTACTGGATTGTCAAGATTGTCAAGAATGTAAGTTCTAGCAAGAAAACAGAACTAGTATTTTGATCTGTACCCAGACAATCTAGTTTATTTTTGTATCTCCATGTCAGGTTATATATCATAGGGAGAATCATGGCCTAGAGCTGAGGTCCTCTTATATCGGGAAGTACTTAAAACAAAGTTCAAAATTATCATGTTCCAAATTCTTTAATAGTTGGGCTTAATGCCCACTAATTTGGAAAAAAAACACAGTATGCAAGTCTTTTCAAAATGGCACGTATTATTGACAAAATCCACATTTCAGGTAGTTTTTTCCCCCCCAATTGCTGCATTTGAGAACAGCAATTTAGAAACTTAAATGGTGTATGATACCTAATGTGACATAAATTTAGGAAGGACCAGTGAAGTCCTTACCTTATGTTCTGCAGGCTTTTCAAGTCAGTTGTATTTAAATGGAGAAAGATAAAGAACTAGGCTATCCTAAATCCCGTGTTTAAAAAAAAAAGCACTTAAGAAGGAGAAAGGGGGAAAGGAATCTTCTTGGGCATGACACCATTTGCAAGGTCACAACGGACACCCCACCGAAGGGCAGATCTTTTCTTCTCGGTTGGTACTAGGTAATTGTTTGGAACATACACATGTTGAGGCTTGGACTGGGGTTCTGTTCTGGAAAGCATCTGTCCTCGGACATTCCAGCGTAGCTCCTTTCTGTGATCTTCCCCAGGAAATCGCATTGAATCCCAATCCCTTTTGTACTCAAAATATCTGGCTACTCGGTCTGTCTTGCCCCGGTTTCGGCTTAACTGATCTAGCCTGGGGAGAATAAAGGACTTGGGTCTGCTGGCAACAATCAAGTCTTGTTCATAAACAGGAGGGCCCATTTCTTCTCTTTGTAGATAGCAAATGAGCTGATCTTCTTGTGAAATTTCTTGATAGTCACGTGGTAGGTTAAATTTTTGTGAAGCATCACTTGGAGATTCTGTGCCTTCATGAAACTGCAGGTTCATCAGCCTGTGTCTTAAGTCCCAGAGATCCAAATCACTTTCTGTACCAGATTCGGATTCACTGATAACAGACTCATCCGTCACTAGGACTTCCCCATCTGGCTTTCTGCGCAGAACCTTTCTCTTCATCACTGGCTTTTTGCATTTTTGGGAAACCTCTGAAAGTGTTGATGAAGTCAGACGACTTCTTATATGTGGGTAGTGCAGCTGCACAGGAAGAGCAGGTCTCTTTCCTGGTGTCACTGAGGCCTTACTGTAGGGATCATACTGGCTAGCCTGAGCTTCTCTCCTAATATCGCCTTCACCTTGCCCTGCACAGATATGTGTGAAAGCTGTAGCAGCAGCCAGCATTCGTTCTTCTGAGTTCAGATTGGCCCATTTTTGTCCACTGGCTCCTATCATTTGCTCCATTGCTTCCTCTACATAATAAGGCTGTCTGTAAGAGATAAACACTGGTCAGTTTCCACCTCATTAATTGCTCATTCATGTCTTAGTCAAATGGAAAACGCAAAGCATTAATAAATTCAGTAGTTGTGGTAGAGGTATAACTATTACTTGCCTTCATTTCTAACTCTTTTTCTTCTACTTTCTATTGCCTTGTCACACTTAATGGCTTCCATAATATGGGCTGAGTTCTGGCATACGGAAAGCTTGAGATTACATGTAATGGAGCATGGTGATCAGTGGACATTGAATCAGACTGAGACCTTGATAATGGCCTGAACATCAAAAAAGCAATGTAATGGGGTGTACACACATGTGTATGCATGTATTCTAAAACAAATCTGTCCTAATAAAAATAGTATTCACATCAACCACTGAAACACCTACTGCTACTTTGTTTCCCTACTCTTTGTTTTGAAATTGAAAAATACATGCTTATAATTTTAAAGGATTTCACCTTCCTGATGAAATTTCTCTGTAAAAGGCAGTTTCTTAGCAGTTTTCTAGATTTTTTGTATTCACACTAAATTTTTCCACACTATAAAGGAGCATGGCACAAAACCTCTCTGAATTTGAAGAACTGTGGTGATTCGACTCTGTCAGCACATGAAAACTTATTTTACCATTTAATGTGGTGTCAAAGTTATCCAGTCCCTATTGACATAATCTAGACTTATAATCACTTGTTAAAAATTAATGTACAGTGACTATCTTATAAAATTTTACATACTTTCATAAGCATGTAGCATAGGTTCAATTTCCAGCATGGGATTACCTCTAAGTGAGTTTTACACCCCTCCATAATGGCATACCATCAAACTTTCCCATGCTTGTAAGACTGTTCCGGAATTAACTGTTCTCAAATACTTGAATATACTTTACTTAGCAATGCCTTTTCCCTAGTGACTGAGTGATTGCCTAGCATACAGGAGGCTCTTAAATCCAATTCTTAGTGTTGTGTCCCTTCTCTGATTAATTTAATAAGAAAGGGCATTTTCCCATATTTCTTCTAGTAATTTTAATTTTACTTGTAGGATTTAAATGTTTAATCTTCTATCATAAATAAACTCCAAATATTAAAAGGGAACCATTTTGTCCTTAGAACAGATGTAGAAATGCTAACCAAGTAACTACAGTCACAGGTTAGAACCACCTCAATGTTGAGACTGTAGTATTGTTGCTCTTTGGCAACCTTTTGGAATATATCAGAAATAATCAACTTCTAGATCCAAATTATGTTAGACTAACTCTTGTATAACTGTTACAGAAATCTTTTATAAACATGAAATTTGGTTGTAAAAAAGCCAATAATTATTATTTACCTTTTTTCTGCCATTACACTGCTTAAAGTAAGAATTTTTTTCTCAGGTTCTACTTCCAATGTGAAATATAATCATTGATTGCAGTCCTTTAGTTATTAGCTTCTATTGTGCCACCTTTAAAGCAAAACAGACCATTAGATAACAATATATAGGCCACTTCCTTGAAGTAGTATAAAACAATACAAACAGAAACAGTCGTGAGTCACCCATATAAATACTTCTTACCATTAAAAATACTGGACAAAGCCGGGCGTTGGTGGCGCACGCCTTTAATCCCAGCACTCGGGAGGCAGAGGCAGGCGGATCTCTGTGAGTTCGAGGCCAGCCTGGTCTACAGAGTGAGTTCCAGGACAGCCTCCAAAACAATACAGAGAAACCCTGTCTCGAAAAACCAAAAAAAAAAAAAAACAAAACAAAAAAACAAAAACTGGACAAATGTACTGAGAAATCAAGAGGAAATATTATAGGGAGAAAAGCAGTCTACATGAATCCTTATCTTGGTTAATAAGGAATAAATGAAATCGAGGCATTTCCTTAAATTTTAAAAAATAAAAAATAGGTGAATTTCCCCTCCTTTCTTTGTGAAGTAGCCAGATAGAATGTAAAACAACAGTGTCTGAGTGATGAATACATACTTAAACTGGTACCTTTGGGCAATCAAAACTTTCACTTTTGGGCTGGAGAGATGGCTCAGAGGTCAAGAGCACTGAGTACCCAGGAACCACATGGTGGTTCACGACCATCTGTAATGAGATCTGGTGTCATCTTCTGGCCGGCAGGTACACATGCTGACGGAACACTGTATACATAATAAAAAGCCTACACTTTTAACATCAAATTAAATTTCAGTGTTCTTTTGTTTTCTTGAGGTATTCTGTACCCCTGGCTGGCCTGGAATTTGTGGTCCTCTGTGCCTCCCAAGTACTGGGACTATAAGACTGTATTACCATGCCTAGCTTAGCATGTGACATGCCATATCCAAAGGAACTAGCACTGAAACTGATGTTATCACTTTACTCTTTTCCCACAGGGTGGACCTGTATGATTTCTTCCTACGGTTGTCATGGCTGAAAACACAGACAGAAACCAGATTGAGAAACTTCTAAACAGAGTAAAGGAATTGGAGCAGGAGGTGAAAAGACTTAAGAAAGAACAGGCCAACAGTATCAAAGAGTCAAGCATCAGAGAAAATTCTTTAGGCTCAGGAAAAGCTAAGCGTGCATTTGATTTTAGTGCTCATGGCAGAAGACATGTAGCTCTAAAAATAGCCTATTTAGGCTGGGGATACCAGGGTTTTGCCAGTCAGGAAAACACAAGCAATACCATTGAAGAGAAACTGTTTGAGGCTTTAACTAAGACCCGGCTAGTAGAAAGTAGACAGACATCCAACTATCACCGGTGTGGTCGAACAGACAAAGGAGTTAGTGCTTTTGGTCAGGTAAGGGCCAATACCTTGTTTTTTCAAAGCAAGTAATAACAGGAAATCTGAGTGTACATACTGAGTACTGAGATTGTTTCTGAAACAGTTTCTCTCTATAATTCCACAGGTGATTTCTCTGGACCTACGTTCTCAGTTTCCAAGAGGCAGGGATTCAGATGATTCTGACTTAAAAGATGAAGCCGATGATGTTGCTAAAGAGATCCGTTATACCCACATTCTCAACCGGGTGCTCCCTGCAGATATCCGAGTATTGGCCTGGGCCCCTGTAGAGCCTAGCTTCAGTGCTAGGTTTAACTGTCTTGAGCGGACTTATCGCTATTTTTTCCCTCGTGCTGATTTAGATATTGTAACCATGAATTATGCAGCTCAGAAGTATGTCGGCACTCATGATTTCAGAAACTTGTGTAAAATGGATGTGGCCAATGGAGTGATTAATTTTCAGAGGACTATTCTGTCTGCACAAGTACAACTAGTGGCTTGGAACCTGGGTGAGGAGAAAAGGCAAGACCCTTTCCAGTTATGTCAATTTGAAGTGATAGGTCAGGCATTCCTGTATCATCAAGTTCGGTGTATGATGGCTATCCTCTTTCTGATTGGCCAAGGGATGGAGAAGCCGGAGATTATTGATGAATTGCTAAACATAGAAAAAAATCCCCAGAAACCTCAATATAGGTAAGTTAAACTAAACTAGTACATCCTTCCTTTCATGACTATTGAATTAACTCTGCCTTCATTAAACATTATATTTTTAGAAGATTTATTTTATGTGTATGGGTGTTTTGCCTGTATGTATGCCTGCACACCACTTGTGTGCTTGGTAACTGAACAAAAGGGTGTCAGATACTTTGGGATTGGAGTTGCGGAAGGTTGTGGCCTATACTGTGTATGTCCTGGAAATTGAACAGTGAGTGCTCTTAATCACTGAGCCGTCTTCCCAGCTCCCTTCACAAACTTCTCATTTGTAGAATGTCATGACCATGTAAGAGGGGATGCTATCTACTAGTTTTCTCATTGTTCTTTCCCGTTAAGGAAATAGGTATTTGGACTGGGCTTCTAATTCCCAGCTTCTGAAATTGTAGGGAAGGTAAAAACGAGGTTTTTCTTTTGTGAACAAGCTGTGGCTAAATGACACTAGTAGTTCATTCCTAGGTTGTGAGAATGTCATGAACAAATCTGGATAAGTAACTTATTCTAAATTTTATGGTATGATGGGGAGCCAAAATTCTTGCTTTCTTATTAACCCACATCTTGATGATTTGTTACTCCTGATAATAACTTAATACTGATCAAATGGATCACTTTTTTCCTTTTAAAAAGGAGTTATAAAGTCACTCCAGATTAAGATAGCGTTGTATATTCTTAGATGATACTAACCACTGACATTAGATCTTCTCTGCCCCTTAATCTCAACTAAAGCTCAGTGTTAAAAAAAAAAAGAACTATTGGCTAACTACTGTGTATTCTCACTTGTTTCTCTTTAGCATGGCTGTTGAATTTCCTCTAGTCTTGTATGACTGTAAATTTGAAAATACCAAATGGATTTATGATCACGAGGTTCAGGAGTTCAATGTTACCCACCTACAACAACTATGGGCTAATCATGCTGTTAAAACCCACATGCTGTATAGTATGCTGCAAGGACTAGACTCTGTCATGATAACATGTGGAACAGGAACAAATATGGAAGAAGCAACAGAATGGAGAAACATTAAGCCCTCGGTCATAAAGCAAAGTAGTGCCTTTGTAGAAGGAGTGAAAATGCGCACATATAAGCCCCTCATGGATCGCCCTAAATGCCAAGGACTGGAATCCCGGATCCAGCATTTTGTACGTAGAGGACGCATTGAGCACCCACATTTACTCCATAAGGAAGAAACAAAGGTCAAAAGGGACTGTGCTGACACAGAAGAAGAAAATACTGTGTTAGAGAACCCAACGAAGAGGGTCTGTATAATAGATGCAGAAATTAACAGTATTGTATAATCCCAGCAAGCTAGGATCTCTGCCAGGATCCAAGCAACAACCAGCTAAAATTTTAATGACTGGCTCTTAAAAACACCTAACAAATCTTAAACAATACAGGGTCTACATATTCTCTAATCCCTAGCCCAAAGAATTATGAAATGAAAGAAGCAGGGAGCACTTGTGAGCTATATGCCCTGGAAATCTGTGCCTTGTGTTCAAATTCATTAAACCCTGATCCCACAAATCCCATTCGTTGTTCCTTTTCTTTTTGGCTAAGTCCACAGCACCTCACATTGTTCTTCTCTAGGCAAATGTGACAACCACTGATCTGAAAGACTTGCCAGAGTGTCTTACTTTCTTATTGAATTCCATCAATTAAAGACTGGACAGATGGGCTTAGTGCCACGTGTGAAGCCACTTGGAATCTACCTAACTCGGTGTAGCACAGTATGTCTTTAATGAGGCAGCTAAGTGCACAGGATGCATTTTTTTTTTTTTTACTAAGGGTAAGAGCAAATATTTTAGGTTCTGAAAACACTCTGTTGCAGTCTTATGACCTTTTAGAGATGTAAAACATTTTTGCTGAGTTCTGGAAGGTTCAGCTTTGCTGAACTGAGGTGTGGGGGTGTATTGAGCCAGCCAGGTGTACTGGTGCACAACTATAATCCCAGCCTTTGGGTGAAGGCAGAATAGGAGTTCAAGATCATCTCTTCAGCATACAGTGAGTTCAAGGCCAGCTGGGGTATAAGAAACTCCTTCTCAACAACCAAACAAGAAAAAGCTTTGAGTCTATTGTAGAAAATACAAGTCCTTTAAAGGGAAATTAGCACATACTAAATATGACTACAAAGTGACAAAAGCTTGATTTACATAAGCCAGTATATCAATTCATATCTTTAGGGGCCACTAAGATGTCTTAAAAGCAAGAAAATTATGTAGCAAAAGCACAACAAATATTTATTCAAACATGAAATTGTTAACTCCTTGTCCTTTGTAACAATACCATAGCAAATGAACTTAGATTCCCACTTTAGCAACTGCCACTGCAATAGTGTTATTCACATTTACTAGACATGTTTACAAAACCCAAATGTTTGGCAACCAACCAGTAACTAGTTTTTCTTATGTTCAAGACTTAGGGATTGTATCTGGAAACTACTAAATATAAGGAACACATGGATAGTTGGAAACAATACTTATAGTAATTTGGTGTTACCTAAGTGCTATAGTCCCTAGGGATCGAGCATATAATCACAGACTTGAGGGAATTCCAGGTTTAGATGACAAGGTGGCTTAAAGGTGTGGTGACTTGTGCAGAAGTGGTGTAACATTAGTAACAGCTTTCACAACCTAGCAGAGGAGCCAGTATAAATCTAACATTCTAAAAAGCATTGCTTTGTCCTTTAATTTTTAAGCCTTAACATCTGTATGTGTATCACATGGCATCCACAGAGGTTAGGAGAAGGCATCTTAAGATTCTGTGGAGCTGCAATTGGGCCTTCGTGAACTATCTATTGGGTGCTGGGATCCCAACTCTGGTCTTCTGATAGAACAATTTCTTACCTTATTTTGGTGTGCCTTGACTGGCAGTATTTAACAAAAAGGAAAAACCTAGAGAAGAAAAACAGACGTTAAGAAATAGCCCTTTTTTAAGTCTGCAAAGCCCTAACTAAAAGGTGTTATACTCAGGAGTCTATTGAAGTAAGAGTTCAAGGCTTTAGATGTGAATAAAATCCTTTCAAGAGATTGCCTGGGTCTGAATCTAAAAGAGAATGGGTTCAGTAACCTTATATTTAGTAGTCATCACAGGAGAAGCAACTGAGAAGCCCCCAAATGGATTTTTTTTGCAAAATCACTGAAGTAATACTTATACATACTCCAAGGTAAGGACTGATGCTAGAAAGATGTAAAGAGCTTAAGGTTCCTTTTTCCATTTAAAAAGAATTACTTCAATAGGTTTTGAAGTTTAATTGAAATGTCTGTGTGCTTGTTGGTCTTCTGGAGTTGGTCTGGGATGACTTTGGACACCAAAGCCAAGAGAATTTTTAATAGCATGTTTACAAGATCGATAAAGTGTTGTCTCTTTGTGTTCAAATTATGTCCCCTACATTTTACCCTCAAATGTGTTGATACTTACAGAACGAAATGCAACTTTTCATAAGGTCTACAGGTTATGGTCAGTTCCTTTGGTTTCAATTAAAACACACAATCTCAATAGCTAGACAGAAACTTACACAGAAGCTAACCCCCCCCACCTTATATTTTGTGAATAAACCTGGTTAATATTGACCAAAATGCATATCTTTTCTTAAAAAACAAAAAACAAAGCAACAAAAACTTAAGTGTAATAGTCCAGGGTTACCATAGTTAGAGCGGAAAGGATTTGGAGGGTGGGATTTTTTTTCTTTTTCTTTTCTTTTTTTATTTTTTCGAGACAGGGTTTCTCTGTATTTTTGGGGAGCTGTCCTGGAACTCGCTCTGTAGACCAGGCTGGCTTCGAACTCACAGAGATGCACCTGCCTCTGCCTCCCTAGTGCTGGGATTAAAGGCCTCGCCACCAATGCCCTGCATGGGTGGGATTTTTTTTTAACTCTTGCAATTCCTGGATGCATATATAACTGAAATTATAGTGCAATTTAACGTCCAAGTCAAATGACAAAACTGCTCTCTAGAAAAACTGATTAGAAAACTCTAGAAAAACTCTCTAGAAAAACTGATTATTCAAACCTGGGTATTGAAAACCTAACAAACCTGAAAGGTCACTGTGATATTTTTGTCTGCATTATTACTGTACAGTTTTTATAAGGTTTATCTCTGCCCGGGAAAGGGTCACACAGGGCCGTTCTTTCAGTTTACCCGATATCCTAAACCCTAAGCACGCTATGGAGGGCTGCGTGTAGTAGGATAAGCCCACGAAAGGTGTAATCCAAACATGAGTCGACTTCCCCGCTCATCGAACAATAACAACACCGGTCGCACCATCTGGCGGTGGGCGTGCCGGGCGCCGGGCTCCTTCTCCAGGGACCCGTCCCCAGCCTCCACGCTGGTCCCGAGGGCTCAGTCAGCTCGCTCGGTCTCCGGGCACGAGTGGCGCACACAGGGTGCACATTGTGACCTGGAGGAGCTTGGGTGGCCTCTGCCCCGGCAGCCGGTTAAGGACGACTCAGGAGCGCACGCCGGCATTTACCTTGGACCGAAGAGCCCTGCCAGGGAGGAGAACGCGAATCCACGCGCGGCGGTCCAGGGAAGGAGCACGGGCCTCCGCCGCAGCCTGTCCCAGGAAGTGTTCCCCGCCGCCCGGCTCCGCGCACGTCACCAGCCGCCGCCGCCGCCGCCGCCGCCGGTTTAGCCGTCTGGTCGCCGCCCTCTGCGGACCACCGCTCCCCACTCACGCAGGCGTACCACTCGCCCTCGCTCAGGGCAGTCGTTAACGGTCGGCCGTTCAAGTTTAAATCCCGGAGAGAGCCCACGCCCCTGGCCCCGCCCACCCGCTTTCTCATTGGCTTAGAAGCCAGACGTCCTCCACGCCTACACAAAGATTGGTGCTCAGTTTTCTTTCGGCCCTCCCCTCGGACCCGGAAGCGGAGTATGGGGCGCGGGGCTGAAGTGGGAACCCGCCGCGCAGTGGCGCGGCAGCCTTGGCCGTCGTTCCCCGGGCGTTAGTGTGGCGGAGGGACAAGGGGGCTGGTCCTGCTAGGTGTCCCAGCCGCTCTCGGCCGCAGTCGGCGGCGTCGGAGGGGAGCGGAGGGGAGGGTTCTGGGGCGCCGCTGGCCGGGATCGTGGGTCGGCCTCCTCTGCAACCCGCTGTCGGACGTCCTGACCAATGCCAGCCACAGCCCACCCGCCGCACAATGTGCTCTCTCCCAGAAGGCACTATTATTACCCTCTTTTTTTTTCTGAGCGTACTCTTGACAAAATAATATTTAAAAAAAAGTATTACCTGACTCGCGCGCGCGCGTGTGTGTATGTACACGTGCCTTGAGGGAAAAAAAAAGGACCCTAGTGCGTTGGGAATTGGGACGCATCGAATCTAAAGAATTTTGTCCAAATCCTGACGGTTGTATTTTCTAACACAAGCAGAGAACACATTATTTCTTAAAATCTAGAGTGCACTAACTGTGTCTTTTACCTAGCTCACTTTTTCTCTGGGCCCTTGCTCTACCTCTGAGGCAATTGAGGACTTATTTAAGACAACTGAATGAAATCGGGACAATGGCAGAAGTAAACGGGATTTTTAATGACTGCTCCTTGATTGAAACGTAACATTTCTTTAGTGTACACATTCTTTCCTCAGGAACAAATATTCTATCTTCACAGATTTTTCTTTGTCATAGTACCTCCAGTTAATGTGTCTCAAGCAGAAAGGTAGATGATTTATTTTCTTACCCACTTTTTGACATTCAGCTTTATCCCTATGCCTCAAGCTAGGAGCTTGCAGTGTAACCCAGGCTGGTCTCCATCTCAAGATCCTCTTCTGTCTGTTTCCACTAGTACTACAATTGTAGGCCTGTGCATACCTGCTGGCAAACTATAACCGTAACCACAGTACTTACAACCATGCTTCTTGATAGCTCAGATGTTCTAGTATCCTTGCTTAATATTTCACTTGCTTCTTCATCAAGTCAGAATTCAATCAGATTTGCACGTTGTGATTGGTCGGTTTATCTTGTTTCTTTTATTCTAGAAATGTCTCCATTTCCCTCCAAGTTACTGATTTTGATGGATCCATCTAGTGAGTGTCTTCTTTACTTTCTGACACAATTCTCTTTTGTTTGCTTCCCCTAATGAGGTGTAGTTCATTTTAGCTCATCAGCATCTTTACAGAGTCAAATATTTTCAACTGATTATATGGTCAGGCTTAAGCTAACCAACCCTTATGATATCTTACCTTACCACTTTGTTGACATTTTAAAATCCTTTAACTGTAGTTCTCAGATTATATCCTGTCTCTGTCATTTTCAATTTCTTCTTCGTTGTCTTCTCAGTAGGGGATACTAGTAATGACAGCAGCAGATGAAAATAAGCAACTTTCTCTTGCCATGGCTGCTGTTCTGTCAGCTTGTTTGTCCATGCTCTTTTCTTCACTCTCTTGCTCAGTGGCTTCTGAATTTTGCCTCATCTGTAAACTCAGGCTACTTTTGACAGTCTCCAGTGATCTTAACCATCACCAACTTCAATTGTTTTGCTCAGTCCTATAAATATTTGACAATTTATCCAATCAATATTTATTGGGCACTCATGCAA